CTGAGGCTGGGGAGCGTCGGGGGCTGCTGCTATTGCGGGGACAGCATTTCCATTGACGGGTCTGCTGTTCGGGGATGGAGGAATGCCCAGAGTGAGTTTTGGAGGTCGAGGTCCGTTGCTGTTGCTGCGATTGCCAGGCACCGGTGGTCTGAGGAGAGGAACGGGTGAGGACGACATGGCGAGGTTGTTTTGCCTCTCACCCGGCAAAAACAACTCGTTGGGATCAGCCAAGGTAGCCAGATCGGCGACGTTTGAGTTTGACACCTTGAACGAGAAGCTCGAGCACGAAAATGGATAAAAGAGGGTGGACGAAGCAGCAACGGGTTTCGAAAGGTGGCCGTGGGGCCGAGAACAAAGGAGGGGTAAGAATAATAGATACAACAGTAGGCGTACGATCAAAGAGACAACTCAATAGATGACAAGACAACGATAGATCAGGATAAACGAACGTTGGTACTTCTCTTCCTTTGAAAAGAAATCAAAGAAAGAGATAGATGAACGAAGGAGTTGATGAGGATGATGTTGGCGAGGATGATCGATGCTGGTGATGGGCCAACGGTCGGGGAAGTGAAAGAATTGATGACACGAATATCAGCAGACAGACAGACAGACAGTCAGCTTGGATTGGCTCTTTGATGTTTGAACTTTTGAGTATTTCCATCAGCAGCGATTGAGCGATAAGTTGCTTATATTATATCCATTATATTATACGCTGTTACTCGTTCTATCACAATCCAATGCCAATCATAAGGCACAGCCAACAGACACAATCGCGCTGGGGATCGCATCGGTGGAACCAGTCTGTTTCGAAAGGCGCCTAAGGTAGATAGTACCACTTCTATAAATATGCGATCTCTACTTGTTACTACCATCGTCTATATCTCGTTATAGCAATATCTAAATTTGTTCATTTCAAGGTCATTAGATGTATGTTTCTTCATTTTTGACTGTCTTCAACTCTGTGATCGAAGTTGAAGCTGTCGTTGTTGATGGTGTTAATGTGTTGTCATTGGCTCTCAGGCATCTAGGCATCCATGAAAACTCTTCTCAGTGAAACTCCACATCACCTACGGTACATACTTCTCGATGGCATCGTCATACCCAGATTTGAATGCTTAGACTCTCAAGTATGGGTTCACATACTACTACTACTGAGCATCGAGTAGTGGCAGGTATCTTGCTCTGCACCAACTGACCAAGTGTGGAGAGGACAAGCCATAGCCGGAGCAGTCGGCAGTGGTCACTGTCCCTTATCCGTTCAACAATTCCAGCCACGTTCCTCGCCCAATCTGGCAAATGTGGCGTCTGTACAGCTATCATTCGAGATGAGACATACTACGAGTCCTCGAATTGAGAGTGTTTCAGACTTTTAGTCTCTCAGTGTGCTTAAAATACTCGGCTTTGTGGCTTGTGAGGGTGGATACGTGGGTTTTTCGGTCCTGGATGGCTGTGTCATCAACAGTTGTTGTTTGGGTCAGGATCCACAACAATCAACAATCAACAGGACTGCAAGTTGCAAGTAGTTGCAAGTCGCAAGTCGCAAGTCTGCAAACGAGTGTGGACAATCGTTGAGGTATTCTCCTTGCTAATTGAAAGTCTATCTTTCATCTAGTACACGTCTGATTCTTTAATACCTGTTCAGACAGAGGAATTCCTCGACAGGAGTTCTTTTGTTTCATCGTGACTGCTCAACTGAGGCACGTGCTGCTTCAGCTTCGACTTCAGCCCTGCAACTTGAACCATCAAAAAGCCACACAGACAGTGACTTGAATTTCCTATCTTGATCGCAAAAGAGCTCAATCTAGTTCTGACATCATATCCATCAAGATTCGTCATAATCAACGACAAGCAGTCGAGATGAGTAACTGTGTCGTTGTCAATTCTGATATCCAGGCCCCACAGAGTCCCAAGATAGCCACCGAGGTCATCTGCACCCTGGATGCACGGAGGCAGTTTGCAATCATCTCCGAGCTCTTAACTCAGTATCCAAGAGACAGTGTGGTTAAGTAGTCACATCAAGGAGCATCTCCTCTACTCTCAAAGGAACTGACAAAGCAGATGTTTCCGGCTACCCCGAACTTCGGATTCGGTAGACTGGAGTGGGAAGAAAACAGTGGCAATCCTCGGCAATTGTGCTCATGTGTTTGGGTACTACCTCATCGCTATGCCAGTACAATGTAAGGTCTCACTGAACCATCTGCCTACTGTGCTGGTCGCTGTTACATTGAGGATTGTACAATTAAATACATCACAGACGCGCCGCACTGACGATCCTCGCTTGCAATCCCCGCTGCTCTGTAGATCGTCCAGACACTTACAAAGAAAGGAATACTCAGGCGGAATATAGCGACTATTCATTGAGTCACTTGGAAGATATGTTGAACACTTGTCGGGATACCTGTGGGCGGTAGGTAGCTTCTCGAGATTTGGTTCAGGGACCAAAGAATTGTGGACCATTGTCCCTGCCCATAGTCTAGGAATCTAGTCAGTAGTACTCAGTAGTTGTAGGCACAGACCATATTATTGTTGTGTTCCCTGAAGTACTACTCCGTGATCAATGTGTCTCTAAGTGTCAATGAGTGACTAAAGGGTCTTCTGTTTATAGAATCGACTCCATTGACGACTCTCCATATTAATAACCCCGTTTCTAATCAAAGCAACATTGGCTTGACTAGCGGACAAGTCTCAGACTAGATAGTCGGTAGTTTGCTGGCAGTTGAACGATGGACATTGAGCCATACGGCCAACCCCTTTTCTATCAGATTCAAGCCCAAGGACTATGGAGAGGAGCTTTGATCACGCTCATACCTTTCGAACTCTGTGGATTAGCCGCAGGAACTCCGTACATCACTCCGAATAGAAGAGGAGTACTCCCACAATATTCACATGGAAGATACATAACAAAAGCGAAGGAGTTTGATAAGTTGAGTCTATCTACTACCGTGGAGGTTCTGACGCTGCTCCATAGTACCTGTTTCCAAAACTTCCTCACATCATTCTTATACAAGAATGACTATTATGCTTAGCAATTCAAAATTAGTCTTGAATATGCTTGCTTTTAGTCAGGGGTAGAGCCACTCAGATACCAGAGGACTTCCAGATTCATCAACATGACTAGTCTGTAGATGTCTCTCCTCGGTAGCTTGCATTTCTATTCTTAATTCTCTCTTCCTGCTCACAAGACCAATATTACCAGTAGTACTAGGTACTAGGTACACTAACTAGCAGATAGATACCACTAAGCTTTGATTAAGCAATACAACAAGTGTGACAGTGGCGTCTCAAAGGCCCTGTCTCGAAGCTCTCGCTAAGACTTCAGTCAAGTCAGTGTCTTGGGAGTGGTATCTAGACCTGGTCCCTGGCAGGGGTGCATTCTAGGACTGAGGTGCAATTTTCAAGCCATGTCTCTGGATGGTCTTGGGTCTGTGCCTTGACTGGCATAGTGTATCACGGCATACGGAGTACATAAATCACTGAATCTGAGCGATTCCTTACTCTGTAATGATGACGGAGCGAGGTCGTCATGCCTGAATCGAAGATGACCACAGCACTATTCTTGACAGATTCCTTGGTTCCTGAACACGATCATCCCTTGGAGTGCTGGATCTGAACATGAACAGATCCAGAGTGCAAAGATTCAGGAACCACAGCCATTCAGCTTGACACTCTGTTGCCCGTCCCTGAGTGCGACCGCAAGATCCAAATCAAAATAAAGGACTTAGGGGTAGGTGGAGCACTATGGTCCCACTAGATCTCCGGTCATTGGACAGGTGGCATGGATAGAGAGCCACAGCGGGAAAATGAATGAGACCTCTGAGTGGGTCACGGATTCAGGAACGGCCCTGCAAGAGCAGAAGAAATTCTGATTGGTCCACGGATGAAAACATGAAACAGGGCTCCCACGTCGTGCCGCTTGGCAGATGAGATGGCTTGCGGGTTCATTAACCATGTATTCATTATTTGTAATGGAGAGTAAGGTAGATTTATCCAAGCGTAAGGAAGAAGGGAAAAGGCAGGCATTATTACGGAGTATACTGCAATAGAAGGAGGGTAGAAAACGGCGGAATGCCCAGAAATACTACGTAACTCAAAACCTCTAGCTTCGCTAGTTTCTGATACTCAGGGGTTCAGGACTGACAATTGGATCGCTTGTTTTTGGGCGGCGATACTCGAACAAGCAATGGAACAGCGGGATCAACACCACGCAGGGTCGCACTTATCGCCGACCAGCTAAGCACTACGAAGCTGCTAGCTGCCTTGGGAGTTGTAGGCGGGCTGATGCTATCCTCCACCAACCATTCGCCTGGCGCCGTCAACTCACTGGGCACGAGCGTACCTAGTGGTACTATCCATGTACAGTACATAATTGGTATGACGAGGAGAATGATGGGAAATGAATGAACTGAATTCCGAATACAATGTTCAATACTACATTGACTACCTATCTTATGGATAATTGTTTACCTTCAGTATCAATCTCGGAGCATATCTTGATATCTAGTGTACACCGCAACATTGGCGCAATCCTCTAATCTCCGCAATTCTCAGGCCAGGATATTCAGAATTCATGCAATATTGATGGACTAGATGAAACTTACAGGCTGATTAGTGAATACTCTGTTACTGACTTACTGTACCTGGTTAGTTGTAAGTAAGTGCAGTAGTGCTGGTGCAGCCCCCTCGCTCTCCACTTGACACAGTCGAGTCTTTCTTTGCCTTTTCCCCTGAGACGATCTCCAGGTTTAATCTCCCCGTTCATACAAAGGCCCTGGACGCCCCCGTTCGTCTTTCCCTCGTTCTTTTTTTCTTGTTTCCTTCTCTCAAGCTCAGACTTCCTTTCCTGCTTGAAGCATCAGATCAACTTGACTTCGGTCGGCCACTCTTTCAAACTAAACCAACTACCCACACTCTCTTTACAACCAACCCACGAGATAAATTGCCTTGACGGCTAATTCAGTGACTTTTCCACACATACACCAACCAACCAACCAATATTCAAGATGCGTTTCACTGCTGCTTCCATTGCCTTCTTCGCCGGCCTTGCCGCTGCTCTCCCCAACGGTGCCGTTGAGACCGTCTACGAGACCCAGGACGTTACCATCACCTCCTGCGCTCCCACCGTCACCAACTGCCCTGCTCGTTCCACCTCCACCCCTGAGGGTGCTGAGGCCGTGACCACTCCCGCCGCTGTCCCCACCACTGCCAGCGTTGCCCCCACCGAGTCTGCTCCCGCTGAGACTCCCTCGGCCCCCAGCGGTGCCGACGCTCACTCCAGCAGCAGCAGCAGCAGCCTTCCCGTCATCCCTGCTCCCTCCAACACTGCTCCTGTTGTTCCTCCTGTCGCTTCCAGCGTCTCCGTCATTGCTGTGACCACCTGCGTGCCCACCGTCACCTACTCCACCATCACCGTCCCTGTCGCTACTCCTAGCGGCCCTGCCGGTGCTGGTGCCTACTCTTCCGTCCCCGTCATCCCCTCTGCTGCTACCGGCACCCCTGTCGCTAGCGCTACGTAAGTTGTCCTCACAACAAAAACTGTCTACTGAATATCCACTGACAAGCGCAGTCCTTCCGGTTCTATTCCTCCTGGTGGTCTCTCCACTGGCGCTGCCAGCACCCTCAGCAACTCTTTCATCTTCGCTGGTGCTGCCGCCGCTGCCGCTTTCTTCCTGGCTTAGAGCAGTTCACTTGATGTCCATGGTGTGAACCCTGGTCACTCGAGGCTCCAGGACAGCGCTTCTGGATGAGCTGGTCGTGATGGAGTGACGGGATTGTGTCAAATAGTTGGGCTTTCTTTTTGGGAGAGTAGTTTATATCCTTGCTTATACATATCTTTTTCTTACATTGTATTCCTCACTTGTCAATATGATGATGTAACATTCAAACACAAGTACATTGTAATTTTCTGATCCACCAGTTTGTCTCATCTTGGTCAATGATCTCATGGTTCGTAAGGATGTACAGTAACTACCCAGAGTCTCAGCCATACCAGTATTGACTCGTCTACTGCAGGTACAATATTTGCGGATTGCTTGCAGTACAATTATCGAGAGATGGACCTCCTAAGAGTCACCGTCTCTGAGGCTGATGCAAGGCATCTTGATCCTCTGATTTATGCACTCATAAATAAGTTATACTTACGATTTGTGCAGTGATGTATTGAAAAGGCAGGGCTGATTTGTGTAGCATCTCGAATACTCTGGAATGCCACGGCCCACGATCAATTCCTTCGAGAAGGCTGAGTCGAAGGAATGGACCGTCACACTACAGAGGATTCTCTGGATTGAACACGAGGCTATTCTGACTGTTTAATCCTCATTATTCTGAATTCTTCAATGTCCTCTTTTCTCTAACTTCGAAGAAGAATGCTCCAAGTCTGTAGATAGTAACCAAAGAATCACCAGAAACGAAGATCGAAAGCCGCGGCAAGGCCAGATAAGTAATAACATGGGGCGGAACTGAGGCTTTGAAGACAAAGAATAGTTTAGCGGTCAGTGGACCAATATACATAATAATATTAATACTGATTTTGTGGCAGTGTTCCAACTGACCCTCACTATCCAACATCATGGCAGGGAATAACAACGACAGCCATTTCTGATTATGGCCTTGTTGATTTGACTTCGTGTGTTCAAAGAAGCGAAACCAACGCAATGAGGTATTCCGGCTTCGACACACGACTAGAGCAACGCTCGATGGTTGTCGTCTATCCAGCCCGGCACAATTTGATTCAAGCGAGTTTGAGATAACTGATCATGACTGTGCCTCATATCAACCTGCTACATCCAACAAGCGGCTTAGCGAATCCTTCTCCCCTTGCACTTGTAGTTGAGTTCCATTCGATCTGCGGGGCCAAACTACCGTCATTTTCCTCTTTCAGGCCTCCCAAGGCAAAATGACCTGTTAGGTGTTCGTTGTCCGTTGTCTAAGAGATCCGTCCGATCCCCCAGATCGCCTGACGGGTCTCGGGAATGGTATGGACATGGCATGGCATCCATAAACTTGGCTTGGGTCAAGGTGCCCCGTTCTGACGCCGACTGATCAGATCAAAGGCGCAGGGAGTCTTTGTCTCTGTTGTCTGTTGGGCTGTCTTTGTTCTTGTGTCGTCGCACTGCCTCTCCAGCATGATTATGGGTTTCCACCCACAACATATATAGGTACCACTCTCATTTAAATCTGCTTCTATTCCGATTGCCATATAGATACGACATATTAACTTCGTTTAAAGGTGTCGATCCACTCGCCATCTGGGCCGCATCGTATTCACACCTTATTTTTGGCTCCATCGGCTCTTGGGCCTCGTACTCTCGCGCCACTTATTCCATGAATCCTCGTGGAGTCCGATTTCAGGGTCCATTACTCGGCATTTAGCGACAATTAAAGAAGACCCCTGCTCCGTCCATTCCAGGCTGTGTACGGATTACTCGCTCCCCATGGACCTCTCATCACTCGAAGGCCCCCCAATCCACCATCCCCGGCTCACCGACCCGGCATGCAACATGTCCATTCCTCAGATACACCTCGACCATGCCTTCTTCGCCAGTCCAGCAACAGAGACATTCCACCGCCTGCAAAGACCTGCGTCCGCCGACGCTCACGCCCTTCCTCGCCGAACCAAGTACCTCGACCCGGACCGCATCCCCCACACTGCACGGCACCATCTTCCAGTCCAAGCAGGCCAAACCCTCGATCTCGACTTTACTGTCCGGCCTCGCCCCAGTCATAATCACAGGCACAGGCACAGCCATGTGCACAGCTATAGCCACAGTAACTCGGATATCTCCAGCTTCTCGTCGGTGCAGACTCCTCCTCGCCCACACTCCACCCCACGCCGACTCACGTGGGTCGAAAGCGAGAGTATCTGGATCGTCACCAGCCCCTCCCCCGGCTCACCGACTTCTTCCTCGACATGGGGCGATGTAAACTGGTCTGCAGCCGCCTGCCGCCCACCTCCACTGCAGCATTCTCGCTCTATGGACATGGCTTTTACCCATGGGCAGACCCAACCGGCGCCGGACGACCTCCCGCCCCCGTACGAACGGCATTACTTTGACAGACCTCTTCCTCCCCTCCCGCCGGAGGCAGAGATGGATCTTTCGGTGGGAGGTAGTAGTATCCACGGCCAGAGCGCCTACAGCCAGAGTACAAGTCTGGATTCAGGTCACGGTCACGGTCACACTCGCGGATCGCGATGGACGGAGATCGCGCGACGGATTAACCGGAGTCCGTTTGGATGAGATTTGAGTGCGGGGTTATAGGCGAGTACAGAGAAGATGTCGCGACAGCAGCTTTGGGATGGCAGTGACATAAACGTTGCTACCGCAGCGAGCCCTGGATCCGATCAGCTCGGTCGGTCGGTTGAGGCCTCCTGTTGAGGGTACCTCCCTACTTCACCCAACTTAATTGAAGGACACTCACTTCATGTTGGTGAATACGAGTTCTATGATGGAAGAGAGACTCTTCATGGGGAAGGTCATGGCTATGATGTTGGACTCAGCTGAGTGAATAGGACTGTTGTTTGTAATGGTTTGGGCAATGATGTCTAGACAGGGATATTCACCTTTAGAGATAGTGAATTAAGTAATGCCACTGCTATTCTCTAAGTTCATTTGATATTCACTGATTGTAGATAGGTCAGTCTATCAGATATTCACTATTCTACAAGGAAGCCTCCTCCATCACTCTCTTCTTTTCTGCTTGACACTTGTTCATTAGGATGTCTCAGTCTATTACCCCAACCTTCATGAAATGATGCATACTGTGTTTTTAGTCAAGATACGTCTATCTGATACTCAACAGGAATGACTGGCACTATCGAGACATGGTTAGCATCCTCATGAACCAAGGTCATTAGCGATTCAACCTGCAACCTACTGAGTCAATCTCATTTCCAAAGACTTGGACGGCCCTTGGTGATATGCATAGCTACATCCTCAGCACAATCTCCAGAACATCAAGTATATTCGCGGCAAATCACGTAAAGTACCTTGTTGGCTTTATGAGGGTCGCTTTCCCGGAAAGAGCTTGTTGCAATCTGCAGGCAGATTTCGATGATTGGAGCCATTGCGTCCCATCTATTATTTCTGTTACGGGATTACTGGTGAGATCCTACGAGTCTGATCCTCAAGCAAGCTTACAACTAACTTCTAATAGTCCATGATAATGGCCACCTGTGCAGGATGCAGGACCCCAACTCCAGAACCGTTGCTGTTAGTGTACAGCCAATCAGAGCTATACCAGCTACCGATAAACGTCGACTGGTACCTACCGATGGACAGTCCCTTAGCATCCTGCACTGACCTATGATTGTGTGGTGTCTCGGCTATATGCCTCTGCTGGACACCGCTTACAGCCCCTGCAAACCACCATGTTATAACTGAAACCCCAAAGATGGCTTCCGTACACAACAACCAGCTGCGTTCTCTGGCAGGTACTTATTACTCTTTGATCATTAGCAATCATGCTTGCTGATGGTTTCACGAACAGTGCAGCCTGACTGGGGTGGTTTTCCTCTTTCGGTCATGGAAGATCGGCCGCTATCCGTGACCGTTTGTCCTTTCTTCTCTTCTTCTCCCCATTCTTCGTCTTATCCTTCATCCCCAATTCTCTTCTCTATTTCTTTCCTTCTGTTATTATCTCTGTCACTGGATGGTTCCATCCTTTTTCATTCCTTCTCTGCTCAGTCCTTAGTTTCGCAATGCTCGCTCGTCGAACTCACTAGGTATTCATGCTATCAGAGGATGCATGATGACGAAGGCCTGGAACGAAAGGCCTGATAATTGGAGCAACGAGGATATTCCCAAAACATGGGGAATATACCCTTCTATCAGTGCACGAGTTGTTGAATCGTGAAAGTCTCCCCAACTTTCGAAGCCTCCTAGCAATGCTAGATTGGGTTGGCATGAATGACCCAGGCGTTTACATCAAGCTCATCGTTCAGTCAACAACGGTACCGTCCTGATGGCTATGTTGAATGTCTAGCTGGTCGGTATCATCTTGAAGCTGCCCTGGTACAGCTGCCGCAACGCTGGTCGGCTCGCGGCAGGCGTCTCAAAGCCTGCATTGCTTTTTTCCACAGCGATGAGACAAAAATGGATAAGGAGAATGATTGCATATGGATTGAGGTGACCTAATGTTTCATTGCTGAAGGCGCCCGTGCAGAAAGGGAACATCAGAACCTTGTGGATACCTCGCTTGCGTACAAAGCCGCGGTCGATAAAAAGATAATTGTGCCTGTAAGTATCCCGTTCGCTCAGCATCCTTTCCTTTGTTTGTGTTTGGGCCCTTCTGGCGTCGGGTTTCGGTATTGCGTGTCAATTTTAGCGGAGTTTTGCTAACGTTTTTAGGTGCCCCCCAGTCATGTGGAAAGCGTTTTGTGTCGCCCCGCCCCTCCAACGGAGGGAGCTCAAAGCTGCCTTGGAGGCTTAGGCAGCATTCAGAACGTTCTTGCTCTGTGGCTGCTTTAGCGATCAGGTTGTGGCCGACCCTAGCCAAGAATCCAGGCTCATGTCCTGGCATCGGCGTGGAACAGAGAGCACGTAGTGGCGCTCAGCTTTCCCTCGATAATTGCCCAATATCAAGGTTTATCCGGCTAGCCTGAAGCCCGGAAGCCCGCCGTGACGACGTGCCACATTCTTCAACTGACGATCCAAAACTTCTCTTCGAGAGGATATCCTCAACGGTTGCTCTAAGGAAGCCTGCTACTTGAACTCTCAACACCAATAAGTACGAACCGGACGAAACAGAAGAAGGCCTCGTCCCAGATTTATATGTTCCTACCAATATCAACGAATGGAGGAATCCAGTCAAGCAAGGTAGCCTCAAGGAGAAAAGACCTACACAACTTCAGCGAACTGAAGTTAGGCTCTCAGGCGACCCAGCAACAATTTGCGTTGATGGAGTCATTTAGCCATAGTGGCAAAAGAAAGAAAGATGTCAAGCAGCCAGTGGGGTCGCAACTTGCAAGTGTCTTGGGAAAGAGATGAAGCATACATGGATTTATCCCCTGTGCAGAGATACCTCATGACGACACAACAGAAGATCACCATCTATAGCCTCAACGGACATGACCATGAGTGCTTGGGTGCATTTGCCCCTATCAGGAGATATCATGAAGCCATCATAGGAGTTAGGCCATAGAGATGTGTGCGCTGACTCCCGAAACCTTAACGTGCACCGCTTACTGGTGCATGTGTTGCCTACGGACCCTGAACCAATTTGGCTGTGATCTGGTATTCCTCGTACAGACAGCTTACCGGTGGCATAGGTTATCAGCACACTTCGACTTGCTCTCAATTCCCGATTCTATACCATTCAAGGACACTCTTCGCTTATAACTTGCCGTAACCCAACAAGATGTTGAGTAATTCTTTGTCAGAGAATGTTGACCTGCCACAGAGTGAGGCGCAATGAAAAGTGAGGGCAGAAGGACTACAATACCCTCACCTGGGGCGCAAGGGGAAAACCAGGATTATGAAAATCTCTCAGGTTCAACTCAGACTGTCAATCATCCACCACAGTACCACGTGGGAGGAAAGGTCTCAGAACTTAGTCTTCATCAAGTAGGTGGTTGGCCGTCAGCATCACTGATACTCTGATCAACCTTGCATATGTCTCCCATTTCAAAAGACCTTGCTCTCCTGCTCTAAACTCACTCCCAACTCCGAAGCGAACTACACGCGATGAGCGAGACGCAGACTTACTGCCTTTTCATAGAACGACTGGAACGTTTATCTTCAGGAAGCTCCTCCAAAAGTACATTTTGGTGACTGCCAACATCCTCGGCTCACCGCAGATGGCATTTCCTTCTTGCAAGAGCGCTGTGGAAATTCCACTATGCCAATGAGCTCAAAGACTTCTGGAAAATGGTTTATTGTCTCAGGAAGCCGATAAGCGCGCAAGAAAAGCTCTCAGAGATGATGAGCAATGGAAGGAATATCTATGTGATATCAAGAAAAACGCGGGCGCGGACAATGACAACAAATCAGCCTATCCCAAACATGTCATGGGCTAGCTGAGATCGTCAGCGCGACGGTGGTTGTGTTCAATGGAAAGAAAGGGCGCTAGTGTCAGCCAAAGCCCCTAACCTATCGCGAACTGCACATTGTCCAACGCTTTAATGCCACTCAGCCAGCGGACTCAGAGCAGATTGTTACCCGTGGTCGTTACCTATTCGAAAAAGGGATGACAAACGCTCAGAATGATGATGACCTTGACGACTCTGATGTTGACCCAGACTGGAACCAGGGGCAGACTCATCAGACAGCGAATCAGACTATCAGTCGGACATAGATAGTAGTGATGATGTCGTTATTACTGGTACTACTACTGCTGGTGCTACGGGTACTACCACTGCCGGTGCTACTGGAAGTACTTGACCCATTCATGGTAAGGATGCCCCTACACTGCCAGGCCTCCAAGTCAAGCAAATGTCGATTCCTATAGACCGACAGTCTTCCGCTGGGAAGGTCACGGGCTCTATCCTCATCAGGTAGTACCGTCCGGCAAAGACTCAACCTTTATCCCCCTGGTTGCATTCTCAAATATGTTAAAGTTTGCAAGAAAGGTTCAGGTAATCGGGCTGGAGGAAGCCGAATCTTCTACTCCTGCTAAGAGGACACTGAGGGTCCATTATGCGGACTCAGATGATGACGAAGCGAAGCTGATCTACTCATTTTCTGGATTCTTGAGAGGTATAACTCGTGGTCGATCAAAGCTCTCAACGTCGCCAGGATCCTTACACCTTCTATGACTTATCACAAAGCGCAGACGCCTTCTTTGAAAAAGCCACTTGGCCCGACCGCGTCTCTCAGCTTAATGGATCTTTGAGGCTGCAGCAGGACCTCAAGAAATCTCCATGGGGAACCCCGGCTGCCTTGCTGAACCACGCTCTGCACGACACTCCAAAGGAGATTGTTGATGTTCCTCTCCTGTCTCTGGGTGATTGAGAGACTTTCCTTTTCTTCAATCATTGTGTCTTGTGTTCTGCCTCCCATGGACTGCTGATAAGTTAGAACTCTGCAACAATTTTTCTCAGAGTATGATGGGCCTATCAATCCATCGTGATGTGCAGTTTAACATTGACTGCTATCCATGGGATGGCAGATCATCACCCCAGTTCAAAAATGTTGGAGAATGTGGCTCGCGTGGGATGGTAGAGAAGATTCTCCCATTTATCCAGCATTTCCTCCCAAACATATTAAAGGTGGGAACACTAATTAATATATGGTTGACTGAGTGTATGGACTCAAGCTTCTTTGGTCAAGGAATGGAGATCTACCAAGACCTCCCTAACCCTGATTTATCTACTCAAGCTCGGCAAATTGCTAAGCACATTAGCTCTTCCAGTAGGACTGGTACGATACCTAATCTTGCTCCCCTGATCACAAGAAGCTTTGACCCATTGGCAAACTACAACAAGTTATACCGATGTGATCATTGCAATACTGTTCTTCATGGTTACTGTTTCCCCAAAGAGCAGTTAGGGGCGAGAGGCCAAGGCAACATGAAAAAGCGTGAAGACTGATCCCGATTTATCCTCTCAAGCTCGCCAAATTGCCAAACTTGTCGCACGTTCTGATAGCCTCACAGGCAACCAAAAGACTCGAGGTACGCTGATGGGCCGTGTCGGATACGTTTCGAGGCTTCTTCGCAGTTGTTCAATAATCCATCTTGAACAAGCCACGGACGACCCTTGGCGTTGATCAGTAGCCACAACAATTCCCGAGGAGGTCCACGAGACAGCGTTACCATTCGAGATTGAGAAGGTCATTGACAAAAAATTCATGAAAATCCATCGCAATTCCAGACAACGCATTTGGTACTACCTGATTAAATGGAAAAATGTCCATGAACCCACCTGGCAACCCGCAGTGTTAGTTTCGGTGCAAGCACCAATGCTCACGGAATAGTTCGAATCAGCACAACGCAGCCAGCAACCAAATTTGGACATTCCAACTTCTCACAATGATATTCCAGCCCACGAGCAACTACACTTACCAACCCAAGAGTCTCCCAATGATGTTCCTCGAGAACCGGTCCCACTGACACAGGAATCCCTAAATGACGTTCTTCAGGAAACCGGACCGGTATGGTTTCACGCTATGGTGGTGAAACAAGTTGCAGACAGCCGAGCTCGGACACATTCGCAACCCCTGAGGGGGCCCTACGCCTGAAGAATGGGCCAACTACCGTTCAGCAAAGAGTCTCCGCTTGATGTTGTTGGTTTCTTCCGATATTTTTCGGACATGAACCACATTGGAATTGGAGTTGCAGCGCAAGAACTAGTGTGTAATGGATGCAGCCTATGCCACACCTAAAATCTACAATCGTTGTACCCAGAACCAGATACTACTTTCTTTCTCTAGAAACACAAGACACTCCGGTCCCGAGAGACTGCCCTTGCTCACGGCGCGGCAGTACATGAGCCGCTGGCCAAGGCCTTCAAGTCCGCGATGCACCCAAAGGGCAGAGTACCAAAACGGCGTGGTGCAGGGCGCACCATTGACCTTAAATTTCGAAACCATGATGCATCGACCCCCCCGGAACAGCGACGAGCATGGTATCATCCTCGATGCAGACGATCTGGCATTGATTTGTGCCCAGAAGATTTGAGATGAGCGCAAGCCATCGGGAAAGTGAGCAGATTATCCGCCCCCGCATGAGCAACTGAACGAGACACGCTGTACCGTCACATGATGGCACTCGATAGCTTCGAGCAGGACCTCATCTTGTTTGAGCCCGAGGATACCGACGTGGGTGACTACGATGAAGGTCAGCTGTACCCCAATCGGCTGGCTGCATCCAGTCAAGGACTATCTGGTTTGAAGCTCTCTCTTGTCTCTGAAGTTCCTGTGATATCATGTCGCGGAGTACTGAGGTCGTAGAAGGTGAACTGGGTTGCTGTAGGTCCTGTGGCAATCTGCTGTTCTGCTTCGGCACAGCTACGGGCAAAAAGGGAAGAGATGAATTAAACGCAGGATTAGTCTTAAACTCCAGAAATGAGAGTGCTGCCATGAGCAACCGCAGATATCAAAGAGACACATACAGACACAATCATTAAGCTCCAACGACTATACTAGGCTAAATAAGACACCCTGACTTATCCCGCACCCATTAACGCAATCAGATGTTTCTTCTCTTATTAAGATAGAATAGTTCTAAAACTTTACTATGTGGCAGCTAATAAGATGACAGCGAATATTTCATCCAACAGAAACTAATCTCTGTGCTATGGAGGGTGACAATAACTGCTGTGTCGTTTTCAGGTGGACGCGATATAGCCGATACCCATTTGATATCCTCCAGCCTCCGGGGTTTACCTTGAAGAAAACCCATTTCTGGGCTAATACGGATACTTTTGATAAATATTAGGGAAACCGAAGGGGAGAGGCTTCGGTTCCGCAGAAGGCCAAGGTATTTTCAGGGCAATAGACATGCTAAGATCCAAAAGAGAGGACGCACTGCTGGAAGAGGCTAAAGCAGAAGGGCAGTAGCAGATTAAGAGCTTACTTTCTCAGTATTCACTAAGTACTGTCATTCCATAGACTTCACTTCTATACTAGTACCAGCTGACCTACTTTCTTAAAATCAGTAAAAGTTATTCACTATTCATTCTTTGCGGAACTCCCTAGAACTATGGCAGTCACTACATGTACTACCCCTATGTTTCAACTCATTTCAATTCACTAGACAGAAAGAAGATGATTCATAATGCATGATGATCAAAGTGTTGCTACCCTCTATATCAACCTAATCTATCCTATCTGCTGAGGCACGTGCACTCTGTAACCCTATCTCACCTACATCTACAGCTATGGAGTACGTCTACAACAATATGAACTCTCCTATGACTGGCAGTATGCAGCAGCAGCAAGCAGAGTTCCAGTTTCCAGCCGAGCAAAGCGCCCATCATGGTCGTCATGAACAGGATCAGCACCAAGGTAAGCCTCCTGCGAGCCATTCGTCCCAGATATCAGTGATGCTGACTGCAGTATCCGTAGAAATGGAGCTCACCTTTCCTCCGGAACTGGCCCAGTGCTACGAAATACCGAGTGCCATGGACGTCGACGAGAGAGCCGATGGCCGCGTGGAGCAGAGCGGAGAATCACAGGCACGCAACGATACCTCGGCCGTTTCTGTTTCTGCTCTGGAAGCGGCCGTAGAGAAAGGTAAGGCTGTACTCGGGGAACTCCTCTGTATTTTGTCCCACGTCTCGACTGGAGATACGGACTGGCGGGACACCATCAGTGAACTGCTTGAATCTGCTAAGAAACCCGAGGTCGTGATTGGGGTGATTGGGGCCACGGGCGCGGGCAAATCGTCCCTTATCAATGCGATCGTTGATGAGGAGGGGATGCTGGCAACGAACTGTATGCGTGCCGCCACGGCGGTTGCCACTGAGGTTGCTTATAATGATGGCCCTCGGCGATACAAAGCGGAAGTTCAGTTTATCCAGCCTGAGGAGTGGATGCGAGAGCTGCAAATCTTGTCTCATGAGACGCTGGATAAGCATCCGGATATAGACGCCTTCGAGACTACCAGTGAGAAGATCAAGGCTGTGTATCCTGATCTGGATATTGAAGATCTTCCAGATACCGCGATGGAAATGCTGCTTGGCGATCCGCGCATCGCGAACTTGCTGGGAGCCTCGCTCTTGATCGAGGAAGACGACCCGCAGATCTTTGCGGACAAGCTCAAGCCATACACTGACAGCACGAGCGGAACAGGTCCAGAGGACGCGGGACTCTGGCCGCTTATCAAAACAGTCCGTCTGTACGTCAAAGCCCAGGCGCTGGCAACCGGCGTGGTCCTGGTGGATCTTCCTGGCCTGTACGACTCAAACGCTGCTCGTGTCGCTGTCGCAGACGACTACCTGAAGCGCTGTGCGGCCCACTGGATCGTGGCGCCGATCAACAGAGCTGTGGATGATAAGATCGCCCAGTCGCTGGTCAGCAAGCATCTCAAGTCGCAGATGATTTTCGATTGCATATGCGATACTTTGACATTCATATGTACGAAGACCGATGATATTTCTGTCACCGAAGTCCAAAAATGTCTGGGGCTCGAAAGCCCGTCATTTGATCGAGAGGAGAGAGAGAAGCGTGATTTGTCGACCGAGGTGCAAATGCTCGCAGAGGAAAAGGCGAGAGTCGACGGGTTGCAGCTTGAGATTCAAGATGAGATCGATAGAATGGAAGATGTTTCGGCAGAGTATCCACTGCCATCTCCCCTCAAGAGAAGATGGAACAGCGATGCCGAAAGCATGCTCGCTGAATACCCTACCGCCCAAGCTGCCGCGTGTGCAGCAGATACGCCAGAGGATTCTGAAGCCACTCAAACTCCACCCTTAGTCTCAAAAGAGACGATCCTCCGAGAACGCAAGGCCCTAAAGTCAGAACTTCGCGAACGACGCAACGCCCTCGTTCAACAGATAAAAGTCAAGCGAGAAAACTTGGAAAGACTCAGAGTTGATCTGGCCCAGAAACAGGTGAGCAATATTCAAAATTCTATCCGGGAACGCAACAATTATTCCAAGAAAGAGATCAACAAACACTTTCAGCACTTCAATCGCGAAAATGACAACAGGATCCTGCATGGCAAGACGGAACTCGAGGGGGGGCTTCCTGTTTTCTGTGTCTCAACCAAGGCATATCAAAAGCTCCAAGGTCGGCTTCAGAATAACGAGCCCGAAGTGGCCGGGTTCACCGAGTTGTCACAAACTGAGATACCCCAATTGCAAGCTCACTGTATCCGTCTGACGGAAGGCCCACGAGAGGCGTCAAGTAGGCTCTTTCTAATCGAGCTGAAGAAATTATTGCAGTCAATGTCGCTTTGGTCCTCGGCGACCGGTTCAGCTCATGTCCTGTCGGATGCAAAGAAGCAGGAGATGGAGGCTGGATATAAAGAAGCGGTGACAAAGATGAAGAAGGCAAGTTTTCTTTCCCCATCCATTGACAGTGAACTGACAATCCCAGGGAATGCAAGAATTGCAAGATCAACTCTTTTGTAGCCTGCGCGGGACTTTTGCAAGAAACATCTTCGAGATGTTGGGTAAGTGGCGACCACATATACACTCCGACTTGGACTAATGGAATAGACAACGCTTGTCATCATGGCAGTCGGGGATTCCGAGAAGTAGTTGCTGATTGGAACGAAAACGTGCATTGGAGCACCTACCGAGCCATATGCCGTCGCAGCGGGGTCTGGAAAGAATGGGTAGGTCACCTCCGCCAAATAGCCATGAAATGCTAACTGTCCGACAGAATTGGAACCGCGAGGTGTAAGTAATGCTCGAAGCATATTTTTGCTGAAGAAGGGAGACTCAACTGTCAACAGGGCCCATCCGATGCTGGAATATATCCGCTCTTACTGGACCAGGTCAGATCTCGACTACCATCAAGACGATCAGCTGCTGACTGCGAAATAGGACGTTCAATGAAGAGATCCCATTGCATCTCAAGATCTTTTCCCAGAATATCAAAACATGCCTGGACATCTTCCACAAGAACGTAGTCTCATCTGCAGATGGGAGTATCGCGCAACAGAACAATGCAAGGCTGCGAAAAACCCTAGGCGCGGCCGCCGACTCCGTGAAACACCAGGTCAAAAAGACCGAGGCGTCACTCAGGATCCGACAGAAGACTGCGAACCGATTGTTCGTCGGAGTGATTGCGGCAGAGCTTGAAGAACCGTTTTGGCGGTGCGCAAAAGAGGCCGGTATGTCATGTTCATCTTCGGTGCATATCGTGAGCTGACAGAGTAAGGGACTGGGATGCTCCAGCGGATGCAAGGCCTCATGGAGCGTGAAGCCGAGGTGAATGGGGCACAGATCCTCAGAAAGAGTGCTCAACGAGTGTGTGAAGAGCTATCCGGCATATTGAAACAGACTGAGGGCAAAATCGCTCGGATGGTCCGCGCAACAGTGAGAGAGCTGGCGCGCGATTACCACACAGCGATTATTACACCACAGATCCTCAAGCTGTCGGAGCAAGAGATGCAACTGAAATTAGAAGTGGCTAAAGCCCTTCGCAAAGCAGAGCAGGATCTCAAATTGGACCAACTTTATCTCAGTGTTGAGGACGGTCCGGCAGCAACTTCGGATGACACTCAGGCGGCGGTGGAGACGGGACCACAAGCCTAAGAACAGACTGAAAGAGGGCCCAGGTGATGCATTATTTTGATTCGAGATCTCGGTCTGATCTGAGTACTCCGTACTAATAATGTCGTGCTCCAATCCAAACCGTTGGGTTCACCCATCGAAGCCACAGGATTGGGTACATGTCGACTTGGGACTCGATTGCGGGCGCTTGGGCCAGTGGGTGACTCGTCAGTAGTCAATGCTTCAACTGCTGTCAAACACTAGATAGTAGTTAGTCTAGATCGCCTGTCATTTGCAGATGGGTCATCGTTTAGATGCAATGGGAAGACGGAGTACCTTTCGTTTCATCAATAGATCAACAGTAAAGTGACAATGTTGGACCTAAGTTCTTCGTCTCGATGTCTCTGTAGATAAACCGACTCTATTTGCGTCAGAATGAGAGCGAAACGCCAGTACTTCTGTCACGTCCACGGAGGAATCGATGAGCTTCCACAAATGCACGCTAAGAGCACTTGATCACTTTTACCAGCCTCCTGGTTTTTCTGTCAGGCTAAGTAAATGGGGTAGAGGATTGATCACCAGATAGATATAATCCAGAGAGGATGATCAAAAAGATAACAAGTCATCGTTTATTATTAAACTTCATTCTCTGTTGGAATTGTTGACAGCTCTCTCTTCTCTGCTATACAAAGGTAGTACAGTATCTTGAGCACATGACTTATTCAGCAGCATCAACATCTTCTATTATGGCGTCCTTTTCCTCCTAACCACATCTCATTCACGACTCTGTGGGATCACCGTGAATCAATTTTGGATATCGGATATTATTCTTGATCTCTTCCTCACCATCACTATACTATTCACTATCAACTGCTCTCACCGGGAGAACAGCGGAAGAATATAAAGATAAACATTTCCACCGCCTTCGCTGACATTCGATACACTCAGCCAATCAGCGACTGCAATTTTTTATCACCAGAAAAAGAATCAGACCAGGAAAAAGACGCAAGAAGAAGAGATGGTTCTTCCTCAACTCTTTGCTCGTCACAAATCCAAGCGATCCACTTCCACCAAAGAGGACTCGAAGAAGACTTCATCTCCAAAAAGTCCTCTATCTACGGAGACTCTTCCTTCTCGATCCTCCTCGACTTCAACTTCGTCGTCTCGCCACTCCCCCAGTCATCATCATCTTCCTCGCTCTCCCTCCACATCCACCGCCCACACCCGTTCGTCTTCTTCATCGTCCATTCATCCCCCGTCTTCTCAGTCCTCGAAATCGTCCAAATCCAAGTCGAGATCTCATACCTCCGCGAAATCCAAATCTTCCTCGTCCAAGGACGCCTCCGCTGCGAGGTACAGTTTCCCTACCTCCCCTCTATCCTCCGCCTTTGATCGTTACTCTCGCGATCCCGACTTTCATCCTTTGAATCTTCCCCCCGACGAGCTACGTCGTTTATCCGCCATGGCTTCTGCCGCCGATCGAAGCTCAATGGATATCGATTCGCCTGCCTCTCCTTCCCAGAACACCAATGGTGTGAACGGCGCTCAGACCGACCGCACTCCTACCCCGCCGCCGCATAAGTCCAATGGCTCGGTCGCCGAAGCCGACTCATTCAAATTGGCGGGCAATAAATTTTTCAAGGACGGAAATTACAATCGCGCAATTGAAGAGTTCACCAAAGGTGAGTATGCATTTTTAGTACATCGAGTACTCCACAGGCTAATTGGTTAGCCATTGAAATCAACCCCAGTTCCTCCATCTACCTCTCCAACCGGGCTGCGGCATATCTCTCTGCCAACCGCTACCTCGAAGCTTTAGAAGATGCCGAGCGCGCACTGGAGCTGGATCCCACCAACTCCAAGATCATGTATCGTCTGGCCCGCATTCTGACGGCGCTGGGACGCCCATCCGAGGCTCTGGAAGTTTTGTCCCGTGTTCAACCCCCCGCCTCTGCGACCGACCGTGCCGCTCCTGAAAAGATGCAACGCTTCATCAAACAAGCCGAAGAAACCTTGGCGGAAGATCGAGGGGTGTCGATGGTGCTGTTCTGCGTTGAGCAGGCACGGCAGCTCCTGGGCCGCGGAGTCAAGGAGCCCCGCAAGTGGACTCTTCTGACTGCCGAAGCACACCTGAAGATGGGCAATGAGAACTCGTTGAGGAAAGCGCAGGATATCGCCATTTCTATGCTCCGCGAGAATAACCAGGACCCTGATGCGCTTATGATCCGTGCTCGTGCGTACTACGGCTTGGGAGAGTCCGAACAGGCTTTGAAAACGCTCAAGATGTGTCTGGGTCTGGATCCCGACATGAAACAGGCGATCAAGTTGCTGCGCACAGTCCAGAAGCTTACACGCACCAAAGAGGAAGGAAACAATGCTTTCAAGGCCAAGGATTACCGCAAGGCTATCGAGCTGTGGTCCGAAGCGCTCGGGGTGGACCCTCAGAATAAGGACATGAATTCCAAGATTCTGCAGAACCGAGCTCAGGCATACATTAACCTGAAGGAATACGAGAATGCCATCAACGACTGCAATGAGGCCCTGAAGTTGGATCCCTCCTACGTCAAGGCGCAGAAGATGCGCGCCAAGGCTTACGGCGGCGCCGGCAATTGGGAAGAGGCTATCCGCGACTACAAGGCGGTAGCAGAGGCCAATCCCACCGAGAAGGGCATCCAGGAGGACATTCGCCGCGCAGAGTTTGAGTTGAAGAAGGCTCAACGGAAGGACTACTACAAGATTCTTGGTGTCTCCAAGGACGCATCTGAGTCGGAAATCAAGAAGGCCTACCGCAAACTCGCCATCCAGTACCACCCCGACAAGAACCGGGATGGTGAGGCCGGTGACGAGAAGTTCAAGGAGATTGGAGAGGCTTACGAGACTTTGATCGACCCTCAGTAAGTTTCCTATCGGCTTGATAGTTCTGGCAGATTCTAACATCATGTAGGAAGCGCGCTTCTTACGACAATGGCGATGATCTCATTGACCCTGCTGACATGTTTGGAGGCCGTGGCTTCGGTGGCATGGGTGGTATGGGCGGTATGGGAGGAATGGGCGGCATGGGCGGCATGGGCGGCATGGGCGGTGCCACTCACATCAACATCGATCCCAGCGTTCTCTTCAACATGATGAACGGCGGCGGTGGATTCGCCTCGGCCGGTGGCCATTCCTTCGGCGGCCACCAATCTCAGGGCTTCCCTGGTGGATTCCCTTTCTAGACTCAAACACGACCCGACAGTTTCAACCACGATAGACGAATAAGATCGTGAAGCGATGTGATTGATACCACAACGACGATAGAACTCTTTTGCTTTGGTCTTGCCTCCTTCATCTGCATAACAGGCCGCTCCGTGCATACGTGTCGTCTTTCAAAATATTCCCTGGGTGCATTGCATGATGATTTCGGACTGCTCCTGATGCCTGATGCCTGATGCGATAGATTGGCGTCTTCTCTGTTTCATTTCTTTGCCATTTTCACCATTCTTTCTCGGCCTGATGGTATCCGGGTCGAGGTTCTTTGTTGCTTTTGTTTCACTGGCTTGCCACGTATCAGTGGATTCGAGCAGAAGCTGATCATTTGCTTTGAGGCGTGGCGGCAGACATTGTAAGGCGTTATATACTCCATGTACGGTTACTGATTTTTGCTGGGGCATGATGATGCTTCCTTTTGATATGAATGACACATTTTTCTGTGTAGTCGATTGCTTCATTGGGGTGTGTTTGATAGACATGAATACTCAAGGCCAATTCTAAGTGGATACTGCTTGAAATAAGTGTCTATGCCATTGCTGATTCATTTCACACTTCCAGACGAACATTCTTCCTAAATCAAATCTTTTACCCAACATAGAACAGGATTGACCCCTCCTTGGATTGAAAGCATACATCCATCCGTCCTCCTATCCTTCTTTCATTGTCGTCGTCGTCGCCGTCTGCTTCCCCATTGTCATCCTCATCCTCATCCTCATCATCATCACTTTCCTCGTCGTCACCAACCTCCTCATCATCACTAATCAACCCCCTCCCAACCATCGCATCAACCATCCCCTCTCCCGACTCCAAAACTTCCACACCCTCCCCCTCGAGCCTTACGCCCCCACCCTCGGTACGCACATGCACATTCCCAGCC